GCCTCCATCATCACCGTGTACAATCCCCGTATCATCCCCATCTTCACTCTCACTCTCTAACCCAGTCGCCGCCCCAATCTCACTCATGCGAGGACCGCCCACACTCATCATGGATAACCTATTACGGTCATGTTCACTCGTAGCCCGTCGAGGATACTCAACCGTAATATCTTCCTCCTCAAACGCCAACGACAGCCGGGGTGGGTGCATCTCCGGCTCCTCATCTACCTCCTCCACCTCATCGAGCGGCAGCGACAAACGAGGGCGCTCAATTTCGGGCTCATTATCTAACTCTTCGATTTCATCTCTCTCCGGTTCTGGCGAAGACTCTACTTGCTCCTGCGGCGAAGATTGTATAGGCTGGGTGGTCGGTGCAAGGGCTTTCCCCAGGTTCCGGAGGATATCGAATGTCGTCTCGCGTTGGATCCGCCCGCTTCGTCTACGATCGCGTCCGGGCGTGTTCGCGGCGCGTCGCTGCAGCGCCTGCACTCGATACGGCGTGGATGGCGCGCCGGCGCCCCTGTTTCGCGGGGTGTATCGGTTCGCGGAGGGGGTGGTGGATGCGAATCGGCTGGGAGTGAGGGGGTATTTTGTGTGAGCGGGGAGACGTTGCAACTGGCTCTGGTCAGTACGTACAAGATGATATGATGCAAAGAAAGCAGCTTACCCCTGTGAGTGTGGTGTCTCCTACTGGAGTCAATGCTTCCGAGCCATCAGACACTCGGGGTGACCGGCGACGCGGCTTGGGTGTGGTCGCCATTGGCTAGCGGGGATGCGGATCTATCGCATCAAATAGATTATGATGTAGCGGTTATCAGCGTTCAATAAATATACCAGCCGTTCATGATAATAGAAGCCAATATTGGCGATAGATGAAGAGGGGTTGTATGGCTATAGTGATAACTGGAGCGCGTCTGGGAGAAGAGCAGCAGCGGACAGAAGGGAAGGCGGTCAACTAATCTTAGTTAGACCCACTGATTGGTGCTGCTCCTTATCGATAAGGAGAGAAAAAGTTGCACGGCCAGCGACATCATACGCTTGTCACAGCTAATCTGTGCCATTGAAGAATACGACTCGGTTGTACCTGTAAACTACAGTCCAGCGATCGCAAATCATGTCTGACGAAACTCCCAAGCCGTCCGCCCTCGCCGCCAAGGTGGACAAGAAGCGCAAGCGCCAGGCCGAAGATTCCAAGCCGAACGACGCAAAGCCAACTGGTAGCACCAGCGAAGGCCCGAACAAGAAGCACAAGGGCGGCAAGAACTTCAATGACCGGAAGAACAAGGGCAAGGGTAAGGGAAAGAAGGACGACAAGGGCAAGTCGGGTGAGAAGCCCGCTAAGAAGGAGCCTGCCGATACCAAGGTGACGGAGACGAAGGGCGGCATCGATGAAGCGATTGGAAAGATGGACGGCCGGCTGTTGGCCGATCACTTCCTGCAGAAGGCCAAACGCCATAACAAGGAGCTGAGTGCGGTTGAACTCAATGATCTGTCTGTGCCGGGTAAGTTGAGCTTTTCTGGTATTGGAGATTGGAGTACTGATGGCAATAGATTCCGCCTTCCTGGATACGTCGTCGTTCGACCAGAGCCGATCTCTGGAGCAGCTTCCTGCGTTCCTGAAGGCATTCAGCCCGAATAAGGGGGCTGACCTTGCGAAGGCATCGGAGCAGAAGGGTACCCCGCACACTTTGGTTATTTCTGGTGCTGCGCTCAGAGCTGCCGACGTTGTTCGGTAAGTCATGGAGACTGACAAGAAATGATATGCGGTGCTAACATTTTCGAAGTGCTCTCCGTTCGTTCCAGACTAAAGAGGCTATTGTCGGAAAGTTGTTCGCTAAGCACATTAAGCTGGAGGAGGCCAAGCAGTTCCTGGAGCGCGCACGGTACGGTCCTCATTGCATAATTTATGACTATCGCTAATGATAAATAGCACGGGCATTGGAGCCGGTACCCCTGCTCGTATCTCGGACCTTATTGAAGCAGGTATGTTGAAGCCGAACTATGAATATTCGAAGCAGGTCTAATAATTACAGGCTCCCTGAAACTGGGTGAACTCGAGCGCATTGTCATCGACGGATCCTACGTGGACCAGAAGCAACGAGGCATATTCGACATGAAGGAAACGCACCTCCCGTTGTTGCAGCTTCTCACACGGCCAGAGTTCCGGGAGCGGTATGGCGCAGCAGAGAAGAAGGTTAAGATCTTGGTCTTTTAGGGGTGGAGTAATATAATATGGCGTTACAAACGGGCTGGCATCGTTTATTTGCTCATGTATAAACTTGGGAGTTGTTCATAGAAGACAAAAGTGATATTCACCGATGATTATTGACGCAGAAGACTTTGAAACCTAACAACCTCCAAGGTTGAAACAAAGTAATATAATAAGCTGGAGTCCCGGGGGTTTTTAGAGGAGAATAATCAATAAAAAAAATGACGAAAGATGGTGAGGATACTTTACATAGATCAAAGACAGCAGCTAAGCAATAGAAAGAAGGACCACATGTAGCGCTGTTATTACCGTGATACAAATGGTATCATACTTTCGCAAAGAGCTAGCATTATTATCAACAGAGGGAAGTATATCTTTATCTTTCTCTAAAGCCCCAGCATCTCAGTATCAGGAAGGTCCTGATTATTATTACTATTACCAACAATCTCAGCAGTCTCCTATGCAGGACATGTGCCGTTACCATTGCATACATTAAGTTTTCTGTACCACTATCAGATGGGATATTGAGGCAAGAGGTGTGTGTCGGTGGCCACCGAGTGTTTTAGATTGGCTGTTACTGCTTCATTCACACTATCTAGTTATCTTCAGCCTCACAATTACTATGAAGGACAGAAGCCGATCCTTCTGAATAAGTTATATTACTATTCATTAGCTTTCTCATGACAGTGGTGTATAATTTCGCTGCAACATGACTATTCCTAACACATATACCATACATTATATGAGCATATTGGGAGACTAATATGCTCATCTCACCTCCAGCACCAGTAGGACTACTCGATATACACTTCACGTTCACCAAATCTCAGTTTCCCGAGTATATCCCCGATATTTGGGCCTTCATATGTATAGTTGTAAGGCCGGATCGGAAAGTCACCCCTAGGAATTCCCACCATCCCTTTGTCGAGGGTGAACGAGTTCAATCTGGGCATATAGTCTTTCATGAGCGAAAGCAAGGCCTCCCAGCGCTCTGGACTGTTGCTCCAACAGTGGGAGAAGCCCACTGAGACCAGGTACTGGCCGTTGACTCTCAACAATCTGAGGACGTCCTCTAAATGGACTGCAACAGAATTAAGCACTAGATGTTTAAGTCGAGGGAAGGGACCGGCCTTGCTGAGAGGCAACAGGACATTCCCATCCTGTCTAGAATGTTCGAAAGCTTGGTAAATGAGGCGCTCCAGACACGGTGCCTTTTTAAGGATCTGACAGACAGCAGGTTCCACAGAGGCATAACAGGCTTTGTCGTAGAAGTCGACGATTGTCAAGGTGTGAAGGTTTGTCCAGCTGCGTATCATGTTGTGAGGCTCTATAATTGGAGGGAGGAATGGGTCTGTACCCCAGCGAAAGCGACATATATTTTCTGACGGGACGAAGAAGGTAAGCTGCTCCGGATTAATGTCAGCATCGGCAAGCATTTTGAGCAAGATGTTGATATATTCGCTCTCAGCCTGCAACTGGACTAATGATACGTCTAGGCTGATCCCAAAGCTGCGACAGTTTGTGAGAGAGTATTTGAGGTCGTTGATTAAGGTATGCATCTCTGGTAACTTCGAGCAAAGCTGCTTGAAATGGCTGTCGGCGTTGAATTGTTTACCAAGGCAGCTATTATGCCATGGATAGGCGACTTGCAAGGTTCGTGGGATTTGGCAGAGGTCAGGGTTCGAGGCATGTGTATGGATATACTGAATGTTCTTGCGAGATAAATCTGTATTAAGCCTCGGCAGAAGCGGCAGCATGAATTTGTAAAGGAGGGGGAATATTTTCCTCTCCACCTCTTTGGAGATCAGCCGAAGGGTTAGCCATTCTTTTTTCGTAAGATAGGTGACCACTTCCCACCAGAGCTCGGGCAGAAGCTTTTCGGCTGGGGCCTCTCCTTTTGCGTAAACAAAAGGTCCAGAATGTTCTCGTGCTGGCTGGAAACAGAAGTCCATGATTTAGTGTCACAAATGGCACGGTATTTTGGTGGATAGGGTTTGAGTTGTATGTATGTCGACGCTGGTGCAGATGTAGCAATAATGATAGTAGGAAAACACTAGAGCAGGCCAATTGTTGTATTTTATGCTCTGAGGGAAAGTTGTCGAAGAGGTTGTTAAGGATGTTGTGGCGTGCAGGTGAAACCTTCTGGACGGAAAATCACCTGGTCTTGTTACAGTGAATGATGCATCAGCCACTACTAGAGCTTAAATGCAGACAATTCTTTCTGGGATTATGTCAATCGGGAAAAACCCGGTCATCTCTTTGCGAGAACACATGCATACTATCAAGCACTCCAGCCTGTTAGGGCTTTGTTCTTATAACCAGCCGTGGACATGAATGTACTAGGAGCAAACTAACATTTGTTCAATGTCTTTCAGTTTTAACATTAACAGAGTATTGGAAGGCCTTTAATATAAGGAGTAGTTCAACATGCCGGCGAAGATTGACCTGCCGGGTTCGACAAAGAAAATCTCCAGCATGCCCTTATCCTAAAGACATACAGAATAAGGAAGTACAGCACAAGGAGACATCCATCTACTCCTGGTATGGGAAGGCGGAATCCTACTCCTTTTCTGTTTCGAAGAGTGCAGAATGGTAGAACGCATCAGTGTAGAATAAAGCATAAGTAAGACGCAGAAACGTTAGAATGCGTAAAGTTCAAATATTAGAGCTAAGCTGCCATAATTGGAGATATAGACAGCAAAGGACTCATGATCTCAGTCGCAAGTGATCTTATTAATTGTTGAGACAACTCCAACTGAGTCGTCCGTATCCCATCTAAACTGTTCGATACTCACTGTTTGAAGTATAAGTTCATCATATTAGTAGATTCATAGGAAATCCTTTTCTTAGCTGAACATACCCTTAGACTATCCCAACAGTAACTATCGGTACTGATGCCCTGATCGCGGCATCCTCTCGGCCTGCTTGTCTGAGGACAAAATCGAGCATGGCTAGATTGTTAGTGTATACCAGTTATAGATGCGGTATGATACTTACCCACATCTGCATGAAGTTATGAAGATCCGCATCTATAGAGAGGCGAAAGACGGTGAAAAGATCAGCTAGCTTCTCGCGGACCCCGTACACCATAAGTCTACTTATATTGTTATGGATAATCAGGTCGGGATTACGAGCAATAGCAAACTCGGTGTCGCTAATACATCAGTAAGTGTGTATTTCCTGATTCTACTCTCCTCTTATCTTCATGGCTCAAAATATATGACGAATGATAGCCATACTATGCTAATACACGCAGTACTTGCAACTGCTACCATGCGGCAGACAACGCGCATACATATCACGTCTAAATCATGACCATTTTGCCACTCAAAGGACCTCAAAGGGTAGAGACCGCCTGAAGTTCAGAGATGAAGAAGAAGGTCGATTATAGTACAAATCAGGATTTGTTAGCTTTCCGGTTTAAAAGCCCTCATCGTCCGAGGTCTCCGAGCTCTCTGTGTCAAGACATTGTAATGTCTAGCTTCATTATAATAGGGTTAAAGGGCTCTTTCCTGACGAAGTCCAACGCTTCGTTATGGCGAACCTTACTCCACACAGCAGTAGCAAGGACGAATTCGACTGAGACACCCTCGATATTGGTGTTTGTGGCATCCCGGCCATTCATCACCAGCTTATACAGTGGACTGAGACCTCGCATGTTCAGGTCGTGGTTGCTGATTCTCAACCCTGTTGGCTGCTATTGTATATATTGGTTGGCTACCTACCTCAGGAAGATAGTGAAGTAATATGGTTAAATGATCAGTCTGTATAGAGTAAAGGCAAGGCAACCCCTCCATATGGCCTTTAACTCTAGAAGCCATTCAGGCAGGGCATATCTAACCCAATGGGATGTACCATGACAGCGTCATACCTATATACCCCCTCCGGAACGACCATACCCGCATCTTCTAGGGCGTCACATCTCTATAATCTTAGTTGATATCAATATCTATCAATGACATAACAGTATGTTAACACAGGACCCCAGTACAGTACCAAACAGATACACTAAATCTTATAATATAGAAAACTTACTCTAGACCGTTCTAGTTTTGCCCGAGTGGGCCCCCCAAAATATGTGGACCACGTGAGAAAGTATATGGTGATGGTTTGAAAGATGGCCATGTTCACGGGCCATCAGCTCAGTCAGGCTCAAGCAGTCGCAGTGATGTCTGCAACTCCCCAGGCAGGTAGTAGGATATGACATATACTATGATACCACGCGAAGAGGTGCTTGTTCGCGGACTAGAGACAGATACAATCCCTATGTATGTCATCATCTTCATATCACGGAACGATGTGCCACGGTATACTCCAAATATATACCAAGGGCATATCTCCCTGTTGTGCATCGTATGCAAAGACACATATATCAGTCAAAGTTTGCGAGACTAGAGTCCAGCCATATAGTGAAATAATTGTCCATCATGATAAGAAACCGAGTCGAAGCATGCTCCAAAACCATACATGCCTGGCTGATAATACCAAAGATATGAAGCCATAGCTGCATTGATGATAGCCTTCTATTGTCATATACCTGCAACGAATAGGAATTCAATTCCCCCCAAGCCATCGCACATGGCGTTTGTACCATCATGCCATAAGCAGAACGAGGTACATAGAATAACCTACCGCCACGAAGCCTACATCCCTTGGTACGAGATGTTTTGGGCAATAGTTGTCTACATCTTCTTCTTTTCTTGGGCCAATTCTGGTGCATTCTGTATTTGTTCCGCGTCTTGGTAGGCATTGCTTAATGGCCTATATGTGCTACATCCGCACGAGTACATCATAGTCTGGTAGAAGCACCTTCATGGGGTAAGAGAACGTTTAGTGATATGGGTCTTTGATCCACTCACATATTTTGAGAGAGTATATCTTGTGAGAGTTTCAATTGTGCTGCTTATTCGACTATGGTATACTCGGTTTCACAAGACAGTGCAGTATGAATTGTATGCTTTTAGACAATGCAATTAGGTGCTGGTGAGATCCGTTTCCACCACTCTGTGTCTATATCCATCTATCCTGGGTTATCCAGTTGGAGATATAAATTAAGAGACAACCCACAATCTGGGATCGCTCTCTGTAAATCAGCTGCGATTGTTGCGGTACCTGACAAACCGCCCCGGGGAACACGATACTTGTAGCATTCACGAAAACTTCGTGTCTGTCTTTATTGTATTCTCGTAGAACCAATAGGAATGAACTATCAAGAGAAGATAATCAAGTTAGACGGGTTCGAATGGTATTTTCTCCACTGCCGAAGAGATATTTTTAGAATCGCATATTTTCATGACTATTGCATATCGAGTAGTTCGGTGGAATTGTAGTTGTTGCATCACTCTGGAGGATCTATCATCTAAGACAAGTATGTAGGGTTAGTGATTTAATACGGTTTCGAGGCAGTATTCTCATATTAGGTTTTGTTTGTAGATGAAGTATGAGATTAGCTTATTTTAGGCTTATTGCTAGTAAGTACATAGTAGATAAGTACTAGTAAATAGTTCCAGTAAGACAACCTGCTTCCTCGACTTAAGTAGTATAGAGATGATGTAGTAAGAAGGAAAAAAACCGAGGGCAGACAAGCCGAATACTACTTATATACCCCTTAGTCCAGTGAATCAAACAAGCAAAACAAACATGAATAGCAATAAACCAATCACTGAATAAACAAAAGCAGAACCCATCAAATGAATAGAACAATACAATACACCTATCAATCCTATCAACCATTAATAAGCGCCACCACCACCACCACCAACAAGTGAATAACAATCACCTTCAATACACATACCATCCCCTCTCTGCCTCAGGCACCAACTGGTACCTCCTCCCCCAACCAGGCACCAAACCCAAACCATCCCATCCCGTCCATCCCCACTCACCGCTCCGCACCTCCGCCCGGCAAAAAAAGGAAATTTCCAATGCCGCCGATCAATCTATCTTTCCTACATACTATTCCCTAACAATTCTTCATTAATTACCCTTTATCAATTTTTCAATAATATAATTCACAATGGGCGCAAGTGACAAGAAGCGCAAGCTCGCCGAGGAGGCTACCTCCCCCGAAGTGAAGAAGGCCAAGCGCGAAGATAAGAAGGAGAAGAAGGAAAAGAAGGAGAAGAAGAAGGAGCGCAAGGTGGAGGAGGAGGTTGTTGAGGAGGTTCCTGTTGTTGAGAAGGAGGAGGAGAAGAAGGAGAAGAAGAAGGACAAGAAGGAGAAGAAGGAAAAGAAGGAGAAGAAAGAGAAGAAAGAGAAGAAGGAAAAGAAGGAAAAGAAGTCCGAGCCCGAGCCCGAAGCCATGGACGTCGACGAGACACCCGCCGAGAAGGAGCCCGAGGCTGAGGCTGAGCCCGAGGTGACCAAGGAAGAGAAGAAGGAGAAGAAGGAAAAGAAGGAAAAGAAGGACAAGAAGGAGAAAAAGGACAAGAAGGACAAGAAATCCAAGAAGGAGAAGAAGCAGGAAGACACGAATACCGAGGCGCAGCCCACCAACGGAGAGACCGAAGAGCCTGCTGAGCAGGAAGGTCAGAACAAGAAGAATGCGCGGTTTATCTGCTTCGTCGGTATGTACCCAACACCCACTTCCCCAATGCATGAGCCATATACACCCAACGATATACTAATATGTGGGATCGTGTTAGGAAACCTCCCCTACTCCGCCGACAAAGAATCCCTGACCAAGCACTTCGAGAAGATCACGCCCGTTTCCGTCCGCGTAGCCACCCAAGTCGACAAGCCGACCAAGTGCCGCGGTTTCGGCTTCATCGAGTTCGACAACTACGACCGCATGAAGACCTGTCTGAAGCTGTACCATCACTCCATGTTCAACGATGGAAAGTACCCGCCGCGACGGATCAATGTTGAGTTGACGTGAGTATACCCATACCCATACCCATCATACCCACTACCATTCCCTACAGTAAACTGACATATGTGTAATATGTAGTGCCGGCGGCGGCGGCAACTCCAAGGACCGGAAAGAGAAGATCGAAGCCAAGAACAAGAAGCTTTTCGAGGAGAGACAGCGCAACGCCAAGGAAATCCAGAAGGAGAAGCAGCGGTTAGAGAAGGTCGAGGAGACGGGTGTGGATGACTATGCTCATATTCATCCTAGTCGGAGGCCCCGGATGGCTTAGACTGCTGCTATTGGTGTTGTCTTTTGAACACATTGGATTGATTAAAAAGTATCTTGGCTTTGCTTGTTTGCTTAAGAGATATCCTCTTCCGTTTCTCTTCCTGTTTCTGATGTGCATATTTTGGATGATGATGGTGAAGAAGTCAGGCACGGAATATAACATAGATCTGGATGATTACCCTACAACCGGAGATTTCATGTAGTAGCCAGGGACCAACTGTGGAAGTAAGATAAGATCTGCAATCCCAGAAACCCGTAAGTCACGTTCATTGAGTGGTATTGTATGGCATGTTACATCTTTATACTGCATTAAAGGGAGGCGAGGAGGGGGACAATGTGTGAGAGAGAGAGGCAAGGTTATCCTGAACCCGAAGAAAATAGAGAACAACATCAGGATCATGGCACCAAAAATGGACGAGGAACGGGGCACACAAGGCAAAAAGAGAAGAAGATCATCAAGATGGGGCCGGCACAGGCCCCGTAACCCAGACGCCGTATTAGTTGTTTATATTATTGGGAAGTCGAACATGTCCTTGGGGACAATCTACAAAATCACGCATTTCTTGTTCTTCGGCTTGGCCGCAGGCCGGGGATTGAGGACAGCGCTATGCGAATGTTAGTCCATCCGTTCCAGTAGCAAATAGCTTCGGTCGAACATACCGGATCGCCTCGTCGAATACACTCTTCAGGTTGCGCTGCGTCAGGGCCGAACATTCGAGGTACTTGTGTGCCCGGATTTCCTTGGCCACGGCCAGAGCTTGTTCGTAGGAGACGGGCTCCATCTTTCGCTGTCGGAGAGCATCTATGGTACCACGGTCGTCTCGCAGGTCGAGCTTGGTGCCGACCAGGATGATGGGGACGTTGGGGGCATGGTGTTCAATCTCCGGGAACCACTACATCCGCCAGGGTCAGTAAGCGGGTCTCCGATCGGCAGGGAAGGTGAAGGAAGCACCTTGGCTTTAACGTTGTCGAAGGACGGCGGGCTAACGATGGAGAAGCAGATCAGGAAGACGTCGGTTTGCGGGTAGGACAATGGGCGAAGACGGTCGTAATCTTCCTGTCCAGCAGTATCCCAGAGTCCCAAGCTAATCGGTCGGCCATCTACCATCACACTAGCGGTGTAGTTGTCAAATCTGGGAGGCATCCGGTCAACACACGAGGTTCGCAGACAGACGAGGAGTATTCAGGGACCAAAGGGGGGTACGGACACGGTAGGGATATATTCGCCGGGGAAAGCGTTGGTCGTGTACGAAATCAGGAGACATGTCTATTGATCGATTAGCAACAGCGATAACGAAATCGACCGATCTTGAAAACGAGAGGGGGGAGGGAGGAGGGGGAAGAGAGAGGTCGAGCTGGTTGAAAGGGGAGCGACGTACTTTTCCTACCGCACCATCACCCGTCACCACACACTGTACACCAGCGCTCCGTTAGCCGCAGTCTGACAGACGGACACGCAGGTGAATGATGCTGACCTTGAGGGATTGAGTAGCTGGACCAGTAGCCATGGTCACGTCGAATTGGGAGGAGGGATGGGAGAATAGCCCTCGATAATATATAGGTACAGTAGTAGCGACAAGGTCGAGGAGGGGACTGAAATTATCGCAGGGGAGCTAGCTTAAAGCGACGGGGGTGGTGGTTATGATCGAGTGTTTACTGAATAGTGGCTTGACGGGCGGAGAGACAAGAGGGACAACTCGAAAGCGGGTATCTGCGAAAGGGCAAGGCTAATGGTTGAACCGGTCAGGAGAATTCGCAACCCAGGCGGAGATAGACACGGATGAATATCGACACGAATGATAACCTCGAACCGTGCTGACGGAGCAGGAGGGAGTCAAGAAAAAATAATGTATAATGCGAGAATAAAGAGATAAAGAAAATAAAATGGGTAGACTGCACGCAGCACTGAATCAATCACACACACAGACAAGAGGGAAAGACAATGGGAAGGTGAATTTGGGGGAGGGGGGGAGAGAGGGAGAGGGAAGTTAAGGGAGGAGAGGAAGAAGGTGAGTTTAGTTGGGTAGTTTAGTTAGTGGAGTGGAGTGGATAAGGGAAGGGAGAGAGAAGAAGAGGAGGAAGACAGACAGACAGACAGACAGACAGACAGACAGACAGAGACAGAGAGAGGGTAGCAAGATTAAGAGGGAGGGGGGGCAAGAGTTGAATGGGAATGGATCAATCAGTTCCAGTTCGGCTTTTGGTGGAGAATAATCTCTTGGTTGGGGGGATGGATGAAAGGGAACAAGAAGAAGAAGAGCAACAGAAACAACGACAATGATGATGGTAGTTTAGTACTGACTGACTGGATAGCTCACCTTGCTGAAGAGATAGCCACTGGACAGGTATCACGGACTGTCACCAATCATGGGATTGAAGCCAAAGAAAGGGAAAATGGATGGGGTCGAGTCTGTCTTGGTCGGTCTCCCTTAGTTAGTGTTGCTGCTGCTGCTTAACTTACAATCTTTAGTTAGTTTAGTCCTGACTACTAGTAACTTAGTAGGAAGTAGTAGTAGAGAAGATGAGAGAGAGCAACTGATGGCTGGGAGAATCTTTGACCTGCCACCAATCAACCAAATCCCTCATTTCGTTTCTACTAACCAAATACTAACTACTTACTAGATATACTAATTATAATCATCACCAACCATTGATCTCGATCTTCCCCCCTCCATCCCAGCGAGAAAAAAACCAGAGAATAAATCTCCCAGGGAAGAAGGCAAAGAGGGTTGGGTGATCGACCGCTGGGAGCCAAGGGACGGCGCTTGCAGACCTGCTGGTTCAGGGGGAAAGAACCAACTATAGTAGATAACTCACTACTTACCAACCGCGCATTTCATGACTCTGGATCCCGGATCCAATCGTCTACTGTTTAACTCCCTAACCCACGGACCATATCCCCATCTCATCCCATCCCATCGCATCACCTTCTCTATCCCAACTAGTTAAACGTCTGACCGCCACCATCATCACCACCACTACCAACCAACCAACCGACCAACCCAAGCACAGACAGTAACTAACTAAAAGTACGGAGTACAGTAAGTAACAGTAGTAAAAAATTTCTAATATTAGAAATAGCCAAAAAATCCACCCCAGCCAGCCTAGATACACTACTCTACAGATGCATCCTAACTACCTAGTACTTACAGTAGTAGGATGAGCGCCCTTGTTCCCGGTCAGCCTTCCGATCGAATAGCAGTCCGTCCTAAAGGTCGCGCCTAATCTGGGCGGCATCTGCAATGCAAGCCTGGTTTTTCATCACCCGATTTGTCGCGTGGCATGAGGGTTTTATTTTATTATTTTATTTTTTGATCCCTGATCGTTATTTACAATGGAAGGAAGTACTACCACTACTACTGTATGGTACTTTGGGATTTGGTCTCGTGATAATGGTGGTGGTTGCTTATACTGTGGGTAGTACTTAGCTACTGTAAGTACTACCCTGGATCGGGTCGGGCCTATCCCGACAGTAGTACGGACTCAAACTCTCTAACTAACTAACTACTTCTTCACTACCATCATTGTTACATAGTGCCGATCTTTCAAAAGTCAAATTTTATGATCTGATATAATGTATGTTATAGTTAGGGTGGTATAACTCTGCAATGATGTTTTCTTTACTGTAGTCAACTACTTGTCTCTGTCGGCCTGTCAGGATTGTATGAAATTTGAGAAGATAAGAAGAAAGGCTACTATGGTGGGAATGTCCCCTCAAATTGTGACCTGTCTAGTAGTACTCACCGGGTGACACAGAACTACTACAGTAGTACTCCGATCCGTCATCTCTAATAGATACCATCCCGTCTAGCTAATTTCAAACGCTATCAATTCTCAATGGTATCTAGTGGGAACGTCATAAGCATGAACATATGTACAGAACAGCGTACAAGGTATCCACAGGAATCTATATGCCCCTCCTCCTTTTTCTTCTCCTTATCGTCCATCCTATCTCCATTTTTGTTTTTGTGAGTACACTGCTGTCAATTCGCATGAAACAGAAACTCCCACCGACGCCTGAGATGCAATGCGCGATCTGGTCTTACATGACCGGGGGCGCTACAAACGTGTCCGGAATCCCATCAAACACCCAGTTGAGCGAATCGAACACCTCCGAAAATCCGGCTTCGCTGATGAAGGCCCCTTGATCGAAGTTCGGGGGGTAGATCAACCCTGGGTCCGCCAGCGCCTCTTCCTGCTGCTGCCGGGTCATTGGACCGGCCGTCGCGGGAAGACTAGGGTTCGCCATGGTAGCTATCCCATGTTAGTGGATACGATTCTCATCGTGACTACTGATGGACATACCTTGCGGATCCTCAATGCTCTTCATGGGGCGGAATCGCTGCCGCCAACGCCAGACAGTATCATAGACATGACTCATGCTCATCCGGCAGCGCACTTTCAGCTGCAGGGCATCCTCTCCCGCCGGGCCCTCGGGGCTGCCCGCATTCCACATCTGCGCCAGAATGTCTGCCAGTCGCACTGGACGGTCGTGGTCCATGACACTAATTCTCCTAATGGCCGAGATGGCTCCATTGAACAACAACTTCCCATGTTCGAAGTCGATGTGGCGTCGGAAGTCACTCTTCAGCAGCTTCATGAGGGCAAATGCGGCGGAAACAATCATCTGCAGAATGTAATTGGTGGCGTGCCCGATAAGCTCGCCAGGTAAGGTTTCCAGGTCGAGCACACGACCGAGAAACGATGTGGTAGCGATGAACAACTTCGTCAGATCATCACTTCGTGCGCTAGAGCCTAGGAATACAAAGTATCGTAGATGCAGCTCAGCTGCTCGTAGATGGATCATATTAATGTCTGTAGAGCAAGTTAGTGTCCGCCAAAAAAAAAAAAAAAATCAAAGCACCCGGACAACTCACTGGAAATATCGCGGCCAAATTCAACCTCCATGTCCCGAAGCTCATTCTCCAGAAGCTGTACAATCAGCAGTTTCTCCGAGCTGATGAATTCCACCGGGTCAGGCTTGCTGCTGTATAGTGCTTTGGTTACACGGTCGCAGAATTTCTCAATGCGCAGTCGAGTCTTCAGGTCTTCAGAAGGCTGATAGTCTGCATCTCGAAGCGATGCAGGTTCAAGTGCCCAGTCGTAGATGGTGGACGGAGGTTGTCCGTATCCGGTGGCGACGCTATTACAGTTAGCAGACGCTAGCAATAAGGGTAAGTGGACTTACTTTTGAGCCACAATGTTACAAATGACCCACGTCTGCAGACGATCCTTGACGGCCTCGCCTTGGACCTCCATCCGGAAAGTGGTAAACTCCTCCGCCTGGACAGGACGGTGCAATCCAAGTTGCATGGAAATCTGCATCATCAGCCCGCTAAGCATAAAGGTAGCATCAGTCCTCTGACTGGTAGTAGGCAATGGCCAGGTGCATAGGAGACAAAGAGCCTTGACCACACGGTAGTCTTGGGGAACTCCGGTAATGGTAGACCAAAGCAGTCTGCTGAATGGCCCCGAGAGTGCGCTCAGGAGGCCCGGCTCTGAGGGCGCTCGTCGGCTAGCAACGCAGATAATAGACCAGGCCTGCAAAGGACAGCGGCGCAGATACTCATCCGGAGGCTTCTGCGGATTCAACAGGGGAAGGAACGGGTGATAGTACTTGAAGAACCTGGATGTCTGTAAGCTACAGTAGCATGAATAGGTAGAGCAGGTATATTACTGTTCAAAGAGTCGGGCAACCCTTGTCCTAGACAGTGAGACATCTTCCAGTCTCCATGGATTATCATCTTGGGAAAGAATAGACCCATCTCTGTGCATGGTCAAAGGGGTAGCCATAGGCTGAGGCTCCAACGGCGCCGACAGCGGCCGCGCTCTGCTCGTAACTGCCGCATCAGGAGGACAGAATACATCCTCGGAACACTGGGAGAGCTCGTCGCTGCCATTGGCTTCTACAGACTGCGACTGGTCACCAGTAGCAAGCCGCCGCCGGAGCTCTGCGATCTCCCGTTCCATCTCAGCATTACGCCTGCATATATGACTGGTCAGGAACAATGAGGTCCAATAGGGAGAGGGGATCAAAGAGGAGAAGCTACCTCCGTTTCGAGATGCGTTTAAAAGTGGGCTCAACTTTGCATTCTATCTGAAGCCGGCGGCAGCGCGAACAAGCGTCCGCCGGAGTCTGCACAATATCGCATCGAAGCTGTGAAATCGACCAGGTCCATGTTCAGCCAGTCGTATAGATGAGATAAGATGGGGCGAGTGGAGGAAGGAAGCTAAGCATCGATAGTGATATGCATAGATCCTCTCATCCGAGACACATGGGAGAAAGTATGCCGACAGGCCGGAGATCGAGATTAGCTTACCTTTTGCTGTTTACACTCATTACAGGCCTTTCTACAGCCACCCCTCCGCTTGCCCGTGATGGCGGGGATCTTCTCCATGCCGCAAGAGTCTAAATTTTTGGAGGCGAAGTCGAAGCCAGTCACCGGCCGGGGCAGCCTCGGGGTGCTCCGAAGGTCGCTAGAGGAGGCCGGGGGAGTTATCAGATTGGCATGCGTCGCCAACCCAGTCGGTGCGAGGACACCCCGGAACTCCAGATCCATCAGTATAAATCAAGAAACATCCGACGGTCTTGGAACCGCGGGACCCGTTAACACATGCAAAATGATGAGCGCAATCAGATAGGAACCAGCGTGCAGGTGCCGGAAATCGGCAGAAAACTTTGGGTGGGTTTTGGTGGGTGACGGAGGAAATCTCTCGCGAATCTCGGCGGTTGATGGCAGCTGAGTCAGCTGGGTGGGCTGCCTGGATTTGCAGTCACCAATTAACCAGTAAGTATAAAGATAGTAACTAGATGACGGAATGACTTAGCATCTTTCAATCCAGCAATCAGTCTACAATACAAAGTAAATTGATGGTAATCTTATCTCAAGTACCCATGGTACATTCCATGATCCACTCTGGATACGCAAATTATATGAAGTATTAGAACAGATCATTGGTATCTGACATTCCAGACATATGACGTAGGTGCATATTAATTCTGCATAAAATATTTGAAGCCATCTGATTTCAAAAAAATACAATACTGAGATATTATTCATCAGAATTTTGATGGCAATGATGATGTAAGTGACATAATCAATCAATCAAGGAAGTAGTAACTAGGGAGTAGATCAATGCAGTAAGTAGTAGCCTACGGTAAGGAACAAAACGCAATCAGGTACCAGTGACTAACTACTTACTACTCAGCCACACACACCACCTCAGCCTCCCCCACGGCAGCCTTACCCGGAATAGCAACTCTCCAGCTGTCGGGAGTTCGTAGGCTTCCGCAATTACCCCCGAAGCTTCCTTACTATCAACCACTATCTAACTATATACCCACTCCCACTCCTCCCACCCCCTCCAACCAACTGTTTCTGTACATCTGTGCTTCTTTTGTCTCTTCACTCATTAGTCGCCCTAACGCCTTTCCCGCACACAAACCCCCATGGCAGACTCCGCTTTACACGATAGTCCAGCGCATGACCCCGATGCGCCACCATCGAGTGCCGGCTCTACCGGCCACCCCGGAGCTCTAGAGCCCCGTCCCGGCCCAGCCCCTATGTCGGAAGAATTGAAGGGTCGTCTGGACAAAGTTGTATACTCAGATGTGCGTGATGTCTATGGCATGTTTATAAGTTAGGTCATGACATACTGATGAGGAGGTCCCTCATTTATAGATCGGTGTCACCACTCTCCTGACCCGACTAAAGCAAAGTGTCTCCTCAGCCAAGGTGCGTTTCAGGCTCCACCCCCACCGCTGTCAGGTAACAAAGAAAGCACACGGACGCTAATCGATGACGCCAATGGCTACAGGATTTCTCTACTTTCCTCAAGAAACGGTCATCCCTGGAAGAAGAGCATGCGCAAGGCCTGCGGAAGCTCTCTCGTTCCCTTCACGACTCTGCGTACCGCAACGAGAACCGCCAAGGTACTTACAGTCATAATTACAATGAACTCAATCGTTTCCACGACCGCATGGCGGACCATGGACTTCAATTTTCCGTGTCTCTGCAGCAGATGGCCGATGATCTCAACGAACTCGCGTCCACTATTGAAAAGGGCCGTAAGCAATGGAAGCAGACCGGATTGAGTGCGGAGAAGAGGGTACTGGAAGCGGAAACTTCTGCGGAGAAGGCAAAAGCAAAGTACGAATCGCTTGCCGAACAATACGACCGGGTCAAGACTGGTGATAAGCAGGGTGGAAAGTTTGGCTTGAAGGGTCACAAGTCGGCTGCGCAGCATGAAGAAGAGCTGCTGCGCAAGGTTCAGAACGCTGACTCTGACTATGCTTCCAAGGTCCAGGCTGCACAGTCGGCGCGACAGGAGCTGGTTTCGACCCTGCGACCTGAGGCGGTAAAAAACATTCAGAAGCTGATTGCGGAATGCGATTCTGGTCTCACACTGCAGTTGCAGAAATTCGGTGCGCTCGAAGCCCCCACTTCGTTGCATGGTCGATGCTAACCACTTTATAGCAACCTTTAACGAGAAGCTGCTTCTTGGACAAGGTTTAGCCATCAGCCCTTTGAAGGATGGCTCGGCCAACCCTGCTCTTGCTCCAAAGAGCTTGTATGAAGTCGTTTCTCAAATTGACAATGAGAAGGACTTCAACGAGTACGTTCTCAGCCATGAGCGGAACCCTGCTGCTGTGACTTCAGACCAAATTCAATACAAACGTCATCCGGTGAGTCCTGCATGTACCGATGCCAATGTGTTCTTAGCTAAGTCTTGCATACCAGACACTTGGAGGATCATCTTCCGGGTCCGTTGTGCCTGCCTCGCAACCGACCACGCAGAATAAGCGACAGTCAATGTTCCTGCCTCAATCATTCTCGCAGTCAAATCTCCTTTCTTCTACTCCAGCATCGTCTCAACCCTCAGCACCAGCACCGGTGTCTGCTCCGGCTCCAGCTCCGGCGCCGGCGCCGGCACTTGCTTCTCCCCCAGCCACTGAATCATTGCCATATCCACAAAACCCTGATTCATACTCGTCTCCGCCATTCCAGCCTCCCTATCCCACATCGAGATCTGAGCAACATCACTTGAATCAAGCTCCTGCGCTACCGGCGAAGACGCCGCTGGGACCAACCGGGAATGGCTTCCAGCCTAGCCCTAACCTTCCTCCTTTGAAGCCGGTGTTTGGCGTATCTTTGGATGACCTATATACCCGGGATGGGACAGCCGTCCCAATGATTGTTTACCAATGCTTCCAGGCTATTGAGCTTTTTGGATTGGACATGGAGGGTATTTATCGACTTTCTGGTAGTGCCACTCATATCAGCCACATGAAGGCGCTGTTCGACAATGGTGCGTTGGCCTCTCGAGTCACTAGGAATGAGCCCTAACTAACGAACGGCAGATTCATCGCAAGTCGATTTTACCAACCCAGAGAACTTTTATCATGATGTTAACAGTGTCGCTGGGCTCTTGAAGCAGTTCTTCCGGGACCTGCCGGACCCGCTGTTCACATCACATTTCTACAACGACTTCATTAACGCGGCCCGTAAGTAACCTTAACCAAGACTGTATGACTTTCCACTAACCACTCCTATCTAGGCATCGATGATGACATCCAGCGCCGTGATTCACTCCATGCGCTAGTTAACAACCTTCCGGATGCTCATTACGCTACGTTGAGGGCTTTGATACTGGTATGTCTATCAATTCAGCACTGCCCTAATTGAAGACCTGTGAATTAACGCATTGCAGCATCTCAACAAAATTCAAGAGCATTACACACAAAATCGGATGAACGCAGGAAACATTGCCATCTGCTTCGGGTAAGTCGTGACAGTCTTTCCCTCTCTATGTCTTGTCGACTAACAATCCCTAGACCCACCCTCATGGGTGCCAATTCTGGCGGCAACATCGCAGATGCCGGCTGGCAGGTCCGAGTCATCGAGACTATCCTTGTCAACACGTTCCAAATCTTCGACGACGACTAGATCCATCGTTTTCAACCATTGACCCGCAAGTTACTGAACAAGCCCTACCCTCGCAGTTCTTCTTGCTTCCCTTAATCTTACGCGAATACCACGTTTCCCATTTTGCTACGATCTAACCGCCCCCATTCTTGTTCTTTACTTACTTTCATTGTCCTTGCCAATCCCTGCTATTACTACAATGTGTACATAGTATTTCCCTTGGGATGGGTAGGCCGCTGCGATTATTGGTTTTTCGATGCCTTCGATACCAGGATACGAAACAGTACCCAACTAATCATCTCCTAAAATTACTAAAACCTGTACTGTAAGCCCCAAGAGGTGGTGATCGAAATGTAAATAATTACAAGTCTCAAATTGGTGAGATAATAGCCAATCAGATATAGTACAGAATCGCAGCGAGAATGATATGCTATGAGCCCAGATATAGTCCGTCTGTCGTCAAAGACAAAGGAACAAACGACGAACACAAAAGCGCGCAAGGATCAATCGACTGCATGGTATCGGGTAGTTCTCAATAACACATGATAAGAATCGAATTGGATGCGAAGCAGTGAGATGATTCCGCAGCCAACGGCAAATGCAAGAGGATTGGGGGGAGGGGAGGGGGAGAGATGATGTGTAGTAGTAAGTAGTAATAGTAGCAGATACCAAGCTAACAGATGAACACACATTTTTGTTGTGCTTCGTCACTGCGTATCAATACAATGCAATGCGGGCCTTGGAAACCACACACGGCCCTTGCTTGCTGGTTCAAGGAGTGGCCCCTAAGTGGAGAGGAGGCTTGGGTTGCACTCAGGTCTTGTTACAATGGTGGGTTTGAGTTTCAGGATCGGATGTTGACTGGCTTATTTCTTGCCGGTCATCGTCTCCTTCATGGCCTCCATGCGGTCCGCCAGGCTCATGCCACGGGCGAAGAAGGGACTCTCCAGGTCCTCCACGGTCGTGGGGGTGGCGTGACCCCAGACGCGCCATTGGTCTTCCTCACCGGCCCAGCGGAACTGCTGGATGACGAGGTATTCGGTGCAGTCCTGCTGCTTGGTGTTGTTGGCCACGGCGGTGCTGTCAGCGGGGGCACCGTTGGGAGACGCCTTTGTCGTGCCCTTCGACTGACGGCTGGTGATGCGCAGGACGACCTGGCGAACGCCGGAGTTGGGGATTTCGGGGATCTGAGTCGCACGATCCGACATGACGCGAACACCGGTGAAGTAGGTGCCCGGGGAGCGAATGTAACTGTCCAGGTTCCAAGTGACACGCTCGCCCTTGGGACGAGCAGCGATGCGGGTGCTCAGCTGGTTGGCAAGACCGGTGCAACACACCTTGCGCAGGGTAGAAGTGTCGCCGCTATGTTTCGCGAGGATCGTTAATGGGTTGTTGGGAGGGAAAGGTGGTGGAACGAGAAGACTGAACACTTACGCGGCAAATGCAGTGTACATCCTCTTGTGGTATTCGGCAGCAACCTGTCGACGCTCTCTCAGTCTAAGTGCAAGTCCCTTGTTGAGCCATTTGCAGTAGGCGAGGATTCTGGTGTCTTGTTAGCAGCTCGGACGTTGGCAGCCATTGAGCGGCGGTTCTGGGGGCATAGGGACTGACCCAACGAAGTTCTGAAAAGCCGACTTGATCCACAGCCATTCCATATGTAAACGCTCCGAGGGTTGCTGGAAGATGGAGGGCATGTCTCTCCAAAGCGGCCGGATGAAGGTGCCCGGCAAAAGTCCGATGTCCTGGGGGAGATCCGTCCTAGGCATACCCCTACCCCGGGTTCGCATACTAGGTTGAGCGGGCGATGGCATGGAGATGTTCTGAGGCATGCCGCGGAGACCAGCACTGCGCTGAGAGGATTGGGAGAGGTATCGGCGTTGGCATGGTGTAGCAATGGCCGGACCGGACTGGAAGGCAGAGAAGGGAGCGTTGCTGGATCGAATGGCCGAGAAAACGGGGCCCTTGGACAGCGAGGACGCCATGACGAGAATAGCGGCCAGAGGAAAGAACCTCGACAGACGGGACAGAGCAAGACGCAGAGGCCGGGGGAGAGCTGGACGCAAGAGATGAAGCGCGAAAACGAAGCCAAAGAAATTCCGCCGAGCGGCCCCGGGGTCACGTGGCGGGTGGTTCTCCGCCGCGAGACTCGCCTTTTGGCTGATTTGGCTTCACTTTGATTGAAGTTCTTCCCATGCACTTTCCCCGCCTGTCGTGCATCTCCCCCAGCGTCATTTCTCGGCCTTCTCTTTCGAACGACAGGAGGAGCGTGTGCTCATTGACTCGGACTTGCCCTCCGTTGCGTTTCCCAAGCATTAACCGACCGCCGCGGACACAGCACCGCCTACCTGATTGTTTCGTGGAGTTTCGCCGTGCACCAAACAGAGAATCTACTATACCGCTTAGGGGTCCGACCAGAGACAATTTAGCTCTGGACCTACCACCAACGACTCTTTCTCTTCGGATCTGCCTGCCGCTTATTCGGGTAATATTTGCGTGACGGCCGCATATGCCGGGGTATTAAGGCTGGCTCCTCCTTATCGTGATGCTGCTTCTCCATCCTTCTCAACGTCTCATGCCCGGTCGTCTTCTCCTGAACCTGACTTGATTGCTTCGCTGTCGGATTCCATTCCCACGACCCCCAACTCACCCTTCTATACTACTCTGGCTTCCATACTCTCAAAAGTGGATTCCAACGATAAAGCCGTGGCCCCCTCCTCCGCCCCCTCGACCGTCGTTCCGCCCTCCCCGGCCTCCTCCACCTCCCCCACTCCTAGTATCAACGATGCTGGTCATTCGGTCCCTTCTGCCCTTCATCCCCGAGTGGCCGTCATTCTAGGAGTTGATCGGAAATGGTATCTACCTTTACTGATCTGTCGCGCGCTGAGCACCGTGCCCGCCGCGTGGTGGGGGCTCCGGTGTGCTTTCACCTTCCTGGCCGAACTGCTGCATATTCGACCAGGCATAGGACATGAGGGGTGGGCGGCGGCGATTGTCGGGAGTGTTAGTCAAGACTGGGATGTTGAAAGACGATTCCGGGTAACAGAGGTGGCCTTGGCTATTATGTGGGTATGTGATTATCTCTCCTCTCTTCTCGGAGCATTGTATAGTGGGAGAATAGGTCTAACTATGACTACAGTGCAGTGCATCCGCGTATCTTTCTTACTTTTTTGCTGATTGTATGATGTCTCGATGGTATGCATCCTCGGATCCTAACATTCATGTGATCTACCGCTAACCTCCCCAGGCTTTTGAACTATACCCCACCAGCTGTTGTTATTCGTCTCCTTACCACAAACGGTTTGATTGCTTATATCACGTCTTGGGTCCTCTACCTCTCCGGAGCTTCGTCCGACCCCCGTTGTCTTTTACCCGCCTGGATATCCATTACCACTGTAAGCTTCCTGGACTCAATCCTCATTGCATAATTTCCTCGGATGATCGGAATGTGTCAAACTAACTCCTCCCCCTTTCTTCCAAATCAGACCCTTACCTTCCTTTATCATGCTACCCAGAATCACGCGACAATCAAGCGTGAAACCGCAGCTGCACTTCTCGTCGTGGCTGTGGCCAGTTTCGTCAGCATGTCATCGCTTCTCCTTCAGTTGCATCTGACGCGTGAGAATGAGCCCGAAGTGCCCGTCTTCGTCATCACTCGCAAGCTTTGGGATTGGGCTGTGGCTATTTTCCTCCGCATGCGAGTGTCGGATGGGCGGGCTCCACTTGGGGAATTGTAAGCTAGAAGGGATTAGTTTTATCGAGAGATGTACCGCGGCGCAATGCGTGCTTCCATAGACTAGCTATCATTCCAATTGTATATCCTGTTGCGCTAAAACAACTTTCGTAAATAGCTTAAATCTACGACACTATCATTGTGCACTCCCTCTACCAGAAGACACATTCGTAAAGTGCTTAAAACTACGACAACTACGAAGATTAGAGTAGGAGAAAAGGTTGGAACCAAAAGGAATGAAAAAAAAAGTATTTCACCATAACCATTCCGCCAGGAATGAAAGTTCATTCTCGAGCAAGGATACAGTAATGACAGTTGGAAGGCGGTAATGCAACACACCAACGATTAGAACATTTAAAGAATAACGAGTGATCGAGACCAAGCCTCCCCATCCTTTAATCAACCGATGCAACCAAGCAGGCCGAAATTTGTCCTTTCACGTACTGGTGGCCACACGAAGCCAAGCAAAGACACGACACAGAAGAAGTAGAAAACAGAAGAAGTAAATCATCTATGAAGATATTGGGTATCTACCAACGCCTTGTTCCGTCATTATCCCATTCCAGATGTAGCAGTCGAGTCAGGGAAGCCAGACCCACTGGGCCTCTTTCCATTGCCTAGTCGCGAATGGAAAGATGACCAACTTGATAGTGCATCAATTCGACAAAAGGCCCAAGTCCAGTATTCCGGGCAAAGAGCGGTAATAGCAGCAGACAATATATTAGACCGAACAACCCTCGTGGCAGTGGCGGGGACCGCAATGTCACATCAGAAGGAGGGCAGGTGGACACATACTGTCCCCTGCCGCACCGCTCTGAGGGAAACGTAGACTGGGAAGAAGGGACCGGAACGGGGGCGTGGCGTCTGGCTTAGAAACCGTGGACCTTGATGGTCTTGGCGTCCAGCTCGAGACCCTCCTTCTTGTCGGTCAAGAACTCCTGAACATCTTTACGCTGATCTCCCTGCAGCTGAATCACCTCTCCCATCTCAGTGTCGTTGACGATGGTGCCATTGCAGGCTGAAAGGGTATGTTAGTGACATGGCGATGTACGTAGGTAGTAGGCGACAACATACCGAACTTCTTCTTGATGACCTTCAAGATCTTCTTCTGATCGAACTTCTTAGGAAGACCCTGGACGGTAGTCAAGGTCTTACGACCATTGCGCTCTGTGGACAAATACATGTTAGTCATAGGTGGATGGTGAGATAGCGTGGCGCCACCAGCGACGATGACAGGGGTGAAGGCACCACGTGGAAGGGACAACAATAGAACGTACGTTGAATCCGTATATGGATGTAATTTTGAGACTGTTTAGTCTCGCCGGTGTCTTCGTCAGCTTCGGCGAAGGGGTCTGTGGAAGAGCACGTGTCAGCCTCAGGCTCTCATGACCAAATATTACCCCGCCAACTTGTGACGCAGTTGGACAAAAAGGACGACCCTGGCTACACAGCCAAGCCTTAGCAGACAGAGTCTACTTCACAATGATCTTTTCAAAAGACCATCGCTAGGAAGACCAACATCTGCTGCAGACAGTGCCGCGGGCGCCTGGGGACGATGTCCACAGAAGGGGGGGGAGGTGGCGAAGCGACTCACCGAAGGTCTTAAGGTTTTCGATGGACATAAACTCGGCCTTTCGTCGTAAACGGCCCTTAAAAGCGGTGTATAGGAAGTGAGCGAGGGGAGAGAATTAGATCTCTGTGGAAATCGAAGTGATCGTAGAGTCTTGGGAGACTTGGAGTTGGAGGTTCAAAAGTGGATGAGGTGGTGGTCGGGAAGGAAACAGGAAGAAGAACAGAAGAGCCTTTTGAGGGGCGCGGCGTTGCCTTAGCGCCCTTGTGGGGGAAGGCGGTGTGCCCGTGACTAAGCCCTCTTTCCCCCCTTCCAGCGCGGTGATCTGGTACGTTCCATCCATGACTGGCCCGTCTCTTAGGTTCAAGGTCCATTCTGATTGCTACCCTTTAGCCTTTTGGCGGGCTGGAGAGGCGTCGCGCTTCTAGACAAATGTTATAATTGGGTTTCCAAATCGGGTCGCTGATTGGACATCGGTGGCAACCGCCAAGGGCTCTCTCCTCTCCATCCCTCCGTTTTCCCCGAACTCCCCTCATATACATACGTAGGTTCTACGCAGTTTTGAGCTTGTCTATCGCTGTCTAGCATATAGTTTACATAGCAAATCCGTCATGCCAAGTTCATATCATACACGTGCACCGAAGCCTGAGACACAGGACCCCTGACATGTGTTATGGACGGCTAGTACGGCATCACAAGCTCGCCACAGTAACTTTGGTAATCAAACTATGTTCAGGCCTTTCTAGAGAGATAATGATAATATTATGGCAATTGAGGTATTAGGATGTTCATACAGCATCACAATCTCGCCCTGTACAGAAAAGTAAATGACAGATGGCCGAAGGGCTCTGAACTATTCATGTCCTTCCTCTTCCGACTACCGTCAAACCCAACCTTTCAACTCTTCCCTTTTTAATGCGAACTGAAAAACTTCGTGGTATTATAGTGTATCGAAACTCGTCGGCAATGGTATCACAGAAACGGTTGTCGCTTAAGGGGAAGGAGTGGTGGAAGCAGTAGCGCCCGGGGCAGCGCGCGCATTCTGGGGAGGCAGGAAGATGGGGAAGTAGGTCTATAGAATGCACATTAGAAAGGATCCAATCGTTCATTAGGATTTTCCGGCAACATACAACCACCAAAGCCATCACTATAAGCGCATGCAGCAGTTAGTTCATAAGTCCCTTGTAGCGGGGGCAGAATGTGTACACGTACAGGACATCAAGACGGACATGTAGGCCGGAGTCGAAGCAGTTCTCTTCTGGTCTGGAGTCTCACCGAGCCAGGACTGAAGCGAGAAAACGAAGGAGACCCTGGATTGATCCAAATTAGCCAGCTGTTGAAACGTTGGAGATACTGTCGACCTACCATCCGATCATTCTGCGCGCGCGAGCTTTGTTAGAATATAACCACACAGCCAATTGAGGCGATAGATCTTGCGCTCACCTATTCCTGGTGAACATCTGCCGGTAAGTGTTAGCGCGTCTGAAGCTTAAACGGGCACGATATCTTCAGATCGGGGTTCGCGACTTACCGCAGCCATAGGCATGGTGCTGGACATGGCGCCTGAACCGGGGCAATCAGCACATTGTCCTTGCTATCCCATCTACAATGTAATCTATCATCCATTCGTCACATACTAGACATGTCGGCCTCATCCTTGCTCTTGGGAGGGTCAATGTAGGGGATGGCTAGTAGACGACGTCGACGTCAGCGAACACACGCTCAAAATCGGAAGCTGAATATTTTGATAGTAGGACGTAATACTTACCGAGGTCCAACCTCCGCATATCCTTCTTAGATGCCATCTTGTCGCTTGATACTCCGAGGCTACTGCACAGGCCGTGAAAGAGGTACCTTCGTTCAGGTTGAGAGACAGGCGAACAGGCCAACCAAGCGATGCGTGACGCCAAGACCAAAGCGGAAAGGCTGCCCGGATCCGAGGTTTATCTCCCCCGGATGATAAGTTGTCCCATTAGATTATCCCATTATGAGTTCGCGAACGCATTGGCGACCGAAAGACGATCGCAATCAGAGCTAGTTTCTAGCTATCTCTTAACGAATGCTACGTATTATATTGACTATTGGACTAGCAGATGATATCGAGCAAACCACACTCAAGAAGCGTGACTGCTTAGCTCCGAGGCCGGGCACCTTAAGGTTAGCGTACTTAGTCCCTTCGGAGGACAGCTGTAGAGATGAGGGACCAGACAGAGATCCCTTCGGAGATCACCCATCTTCGGGTTGAGCCGTATCAGACACTCAGGTCAGCCTGCTCTGTACTTCTGATCAACTAACTTTAAGCGATAGGGGCGATCAACAGTAATACGGTCGGCGATTGGAATCAAGATCAGCTCAGGTGTCGCAAACACCCACCATCCTCCCAGTTCTGACCGGGCGGGCAACGCAAGATACACACGCATGCACGGTGCTTTCTGGAAAAAAACACCAAATGATAAGAAGATGGAGAGTCTCCCGACCTATCTATCTATTCCAAGAACAAGGCGTATAATTATTTGTTTTTTTCAATTTATTATTGCATGTGCATAAGGGGCGTTGGGCTGGGCTTCCGACGGAGGACCCAATTCCGTGGCTGTCCAGAACCGAGCAGCCCCTTTCGCAAACCCCGATTTTAATCCGGACCATGCTTGTGTACCTATCCGCTCATCTCACCGTGGCCATTTGCGAGCTGGGACAGCCAGGGTTGCACTGCATCCTGCGGCTAGGGTAGGTGTTACTGAAAGGCTGCTCCGTGGCCAGTATCTGGTACCAGCCCGTGATGCGCCAGTCTGTGCGCTCGGAGTTTCCGGGATGATCCAGTGCGTTCAGCACATGGATCCCTGTTCCCCGTATTTAAAACAGGAGATCTCTGCTGAGTAGATACCCAGTAGCACAGGGCAGACGTAGGTGCTCTAGCGCATAAAGGACCGGGGAAATTGTGGCGACCTGAAGGCAATCAAAAGACTATATCTATCCATCTATCTAGTATCTACAGGCTAAAAGGTCAGGGAAGATCTACAGCGAGGTGCCACTTAGGATGCGGAGAAGCTTGGAATCAGACGGCATAGTCATACGGTCCTCACAGTCTCCCACGCAGTGTCATGCCACTGTGGAGGGGGTGCATCCCACAGCCGGACGTTTGAAGATGGCAGATGGGAGATGGCAGCGACGGGGATGGTCAAGAAGAATAATATCATGACACATGTCTAACATCCTTCGGCAATGGATCTTCCCGACGGGGCTCGGGGCGCTTAGGCAGGAGAAGACTGGAGGAATCCGAGAGAATGGGATCCCCTTGATCCAACGGCCCACAGGGTGATGGAGAGTGGGTTTCAAGGTGAAAAACTGGAAAAAAAAAAATGTCTTGGAGAAGGAAGAGACGGAAGTGTGCTTCAGGCAAAGTTAGAATAGTCTCCATCTAGGGTTGGTTTTAGTCGGGATACTGAATCGGATAGTTGAAAATTGTTCACCGTATGTTTGTTCGATTGTGACAGTCAGGGAAAAATAATACCCCTCGCCCCTCCTTCTCCAGGGAGATCGCACACGTATCACCTTGTGTGTGCTACAGGTAGAGTTGATGGGACATGACAAGATTCTATTACCTTGCAAACGCCGCACAGATTGCGCATCACAGATTAATCCCCGGGGGGGGTCACTACTGTACGACAACGCAAACAAGTTGGGATTCAATTCCAAGGTACTGTCCATCGAGCAGGGATCGCCCTTAAACGGGCCGATCTGCGGAGTTAAGATGGCTGTGGTTGGGTTAGGCACGGAGAGTCGCCTCGCCATGGTCCCTATCTCTTGATTCAACTGGCTCCTGGGAGTTTCCATTTTTCATCCGATCCTAGCCTGCAAGCCACTGGCGGAAGAATGGGGCGATATGCCGCGATATCATCAGGTAATCGCGTCGAGTTGCAGGTTCAGAATCATCCGAATGAAGGGGACCCCCATCATCTGATGCCAAGATGATCGATTCAGGATTGGTTGATAGATTTACCGAATAGCGTGATCACTTGCGGTGGACTAGGCCATCCGACAGACCAAACAATCTTCTAATTAGTGAGTAAGTTCTTCATGGATTGACTCAGTCGGCGTCAGTTGCTGAATGCGGAGAGGGAAGCCTGGGGGAGGGAGAGCCGGGTAGATCAGGCAAGATGCACAGGAATAAAGAAGAATATGTATAGTAAGTCAGGAATTAGTTTGGTTTCAGTCTAGATATTCAGCAGCAGGAACACCGTAGATACTCCGGGCCTTGACTACTACTAGAATATGTACTATGTAGGTATTCTGTGGGTATTATTAGCCCCAACCATCAGGGATAACTACGGAGTACATACTTACTACTAGTGTAGTTATCAGCTTCTCGGATTAGCCTATGGATAAGCTGGCTCCGATCATCAATTCAAGAGGATCCATCAAATGCAAATACGGATCCCCCCTCCCCATAGCCGGTATTACAGCGGTATTGCACCACGCGGACTGGCAGCCGTCAGCCGGATAATTTACCGTCTCGAGCCGGTAATCCCTGCCCCCTCTCGGGCTACTGCGACTTCCTTCTTGGGTAGGTCGGTCATACAGGTGCCAGTTGGTCCTCCTTACGTTATCTCCAGATTCGCTCTCTTCGGCCACCGTCTTCGGCTTTTTCCTGGTCTATCTCTCCTCCTCCTCTACTTCACTTCTTCTTTCTTCCTACTTGGTCTTTCACCTGGTTTCCTTCCTATACCATCTCCCTTCCGCTGGGCGTCTTCGCTTCTATCTCTTCCGCCATCGGATCCATTGACCTTTCCCGCCTTGCCCCCCCGAAACTCTCAGTTCCGCGACGGTTACCGGGGTTTAACCTCCGTCTCCTCCCCCCCATAGCCGCTCCACCCAGCTCCTCGATTCGTTTAACCGCACCAGATTCAATTTGAAAGGATCGAATGTGTAGTATACCGGTCCTGGTTCTATCAGGCATATCACCAATCCACATTACAAGCGTCCGGTGACCATCCCTGAGGATAGTCGTGTAGCCGTCGTGACGGCGCGGTGCCAATGATCAGATCCCGACGCTTGGATACACCATGAAGCTGACATGATACCTCATTCTTCCGCCGGCGTCCAGCCATGGGGCCGTTCCCTGCGCGCCCTCAATAACGGCTCAGGACGCGTTGATGCTTCTCAAGCTCTGGTTCAGTCCGACCCGCAGCTGGAGAAGCTGTCAATGTCCATGCCGCAACCGCTACCCCGACAGCCGGCAGTCATCGACCTTACCGCGAATGCCAGCGACTCTCAGGACCGGGAGCCCCCTGCGAAACGACTCAAACTTGATGCGCCTCCGGGATCATGTCCGCCTGAGGGAAGTCCAGCCCCGGGAAGTGCAGAAGCGAGAAGCACCCCGGGGACCGCAAGTTCGAAACCGAATCCGCTTGCCTGGCGCGGTCGACCAGTGTGGTCGTTCCAGGCTCTGATTTCGGAGACGACTGGAGCTGTGGAAGCGAAGGAAGACGATAACAATTCTCAAGGGAAGAACCCTGCATCGCCGCCACCTTTACCTCTCATTCCTTGGAAGCCCGCTCCGCAAGAAGCCTCCGGAAGCAACAGCGCAAAACCAGCAGATGTCGCCTCTACAAAGGAAGTGCAAACAACTCCCTATCGTATTGTCGTACCCCCTGTTGCGCCAAAGCTGAAAGGGGAAAGTAAGTCGATCCGCGCGATAATCCGTGTTGAGAACTCGTCTAATTGGCATAATTCTGGTTTAGGAGTCGCGGACTTTTCCCCTTGGACGGGCAACCACCCGGAAGATACGCTTAATGACCATACTGCAAAACAAGGACATTACGATCGTACGCAGGTATCGCAAAACGAGTCCAATACAGCCCGTCCATCTCTGTACGCACAGTTGAAGCATCGATCTGGTCTTCAGATGCTGTCGTCCGTTTTCGCCGCTGCTCTCGAGAAGCGCCAATCCCATAGCACGATCGCTACTCCGTCGAGCTTCAAACCTCCCCCGCGCGTCACTTTGACAGATAACAAACGTGAAGCTTGGCTTCGGGATCTTGCCAATCCGTCCGTTCCATTACGCAGACTGAGCCGGACTATCCCCCATGGGATTCGAGGCAAGGTGCTGCTCGATCAATGTCTGGGCAAAGGAATCCCGGTTCCGCGAGCTATATGGCTGGCCCGATGTGTCGGGGCCAACGAAATCCGTGCCTTCAAGCGAAAGGGCACGAGCGGAACGCTCGCTCTGGGCCTCGAGACCAAATGGGTCCGCGATTGGACATCAACTGTCCAGCAGTTCCTTGAAAGCGTAATAGGTACTTGCGGATCTTCCGACTGGAAGATGAAGATGACATATGCGTACGCCACACCTCGCCTTTCCCATTACATTTTTACTTACCCTTGATAGTGTCAGCTTAACATCGCGTTTATTCTTCGAGCGACTGCTAGACCACGACCAGTATCTCAGTTGGTTCTTGGTATCTTTAGAGGCTGCGCCATTGAACACCGTGCCCGTGTGGCTCTTAATGCTCGGTATATACTGGAACAATATTATGCGCTATCGGAAGCGTGGTCGACGATTGGCTGAGGTGTTACTGGAGAAGCTGCGTTTGGTGCGCTCCTCAATTTCGTGTTTATATTTCATAGCTAATTGGCGTAACAGATGAAGCAGCCAGGACAACCTACTGCCCTGGAACCGTTAGTTGATCGTTTATCTCGATGCATTAGAAGATTGGTACTGGAGCACACGTCTTCCGTTATACTCCCGGCATCCTGGGATAAATACAAGGACTTGATCGCTTCATGCTTGAACCTGAAGGAACTACCTGACAAGACAACACTTCAGAACCTTGCGGAGCGTAACGTACGAGTTCAGTTGCCCACTAACCACCAAGGGTCGACTCAACAATTGCCTCAGCAACATGTCATTCATTTGTTCGATTCCATACGGTCTGCACACGATGTTTTGTCCACGTCCTCAGCCTGCTTGAATGCCGTGGAAGACAAGGCTACTCTGGTCGCGAAGCTACTTGAGTGGGCAGCGACTCCGTTTCGTCATGGGTCCCGCCGCGTGTATACGAGTGTTCGCCTGCTTCGGAAGTGGAAGATGTCGGGAATGGATGTTGAATCTTATATTCTCGCTTTCCTTGCGGACACTCAGATAACCAGTCGCGTCAATATGGACAATGTCTATCATATAATCGCCGAACTTGTCCGGTCTCAGACTTTCTCTGTGGGCAGGTACCTACAGTGGCTGATGGCGAAAGGGGTAGCGAACGATCCTTTACCCGATCAAAATAAGGTCAGATGCCTCTTTTAGCGTTAGTTGACGATTATATTGACCAAGTGAATTGTAGGCTATTTCGGACGACGTACGCCTTCTTATACAACTTCCATTGGCCCGTTTGCCAGAATATGTCCGTAACCTCCGCAACACGCTGTTGAGTCGCGCCGGAATTACTGCTTCACACGAGGAATCAACTGTTGAAACTGTCAAAGCGTCTATCGCTCAACGCCTTCCGAAGATCTTTGGGCCACAGGCAAATGATGCAATGTTGACCGACCAGCCATTGTCGAGTTTGACGTGGGCAGTCAAATCCGAGATTGGCCTGTGGATCCGTCGTGGAGTATCAGGACACTGTCGTGATCCAGTCAGGTACGCTGATTTCACTCCCTTGAAGTATGCCCAAGTCCTAACAGCTGCTAGGAAATATGCACATATACCCATGCTTGCTGATTCGGGTGTTTCTGCACTCACTCCTGTCGAGTTTTATAACATCCGCGACATACTGGAAAGCTTTGGAGATATCTCGATGCTTGCCGACGTGCTCAAGCAGGCGACAAACTGCGATGACAATATTGTTCTGGCCTCCGTTGCTGATACCATCAATTTCCATTTCGACTCTTTGAGTGTTATTGGTGCTGCGACAGATCTCTTCAAAGGGCTTGTTGAGTCCTATGCTCGCCTCAAGAGACTTGGAGCGCCCGGTTTAGATTTTATCTTTTCACTGATCGAGTTGGGGCTACGCATGCCCAGCGAGTTCAACACCGTTGCTCTTCTGCGTCAGGATTTGTCTCGTATTGAGAACAAGTCCGCCCTAGCTGCACCATCTCCGCTGTCGGACAACCTCTCCATGGCTTTCAATGACGTCGACTCTTCGTTCCAGGAGAAGCTAGATCAGATCCTATTCTCCGGAGGGGGAATGGATGAATCCACTATGGACTCTATCTTCAATTCATTGACTGGGGCATTGGCAAACGAGAATGGTCACGTCAAACTGTCGGCGAATGACATATGCAGGTACCTGGCCTACCTGAGATCCTTCCATCCTAAGCGGTTCGATGCCAGGCTGGTTCGCTGGGTATGTGGTGTCCTAAAGTCACCTTCTCGGTTCGCAATGGTCCGTGTCTTGCCTCCCCTTATCGGCGTTGGTTGCGTTACCATACATGCATTCGTGATGCTTGTGAAGAAGCTTTTGCAATCGGAAAGGGTAGCCTCGGTAGTCCCCAAAGTCACGGATCTGCAGCTGGATCTTCTTGAGCTCTTAGTTCCACAAGAGCCGAGCGGAAGCCGTTACACAGATATGGTATGCATTATCACTTTGCTTTCTAGCTACGCACCCTCATTTCTTTCCGCTGGTCCTGAAGCATGCCCTGCAGTTGTCTAACCCTTCTGTCTAGGTCACGTACCGCTACTATCTAGCGCAACAAGAGTTCATTGACAAGCATCCCGAGGAGTGCCTCAATATCATCCGTGCTGCTGTGCCACTGATTAGTACTAGGCAGACAGAAAGTGCGGGTGAAGCGAACGCGGCAGACCTAACAAAGTGCGCCATGATCTTGCTCCAAACCTTACTTACACAGAAACCAGAACGCATGGTACAATGTTGTACGCAAAAATTAGTTGGGCAAGATCCGGCATCCACAATGATCTTACAAAAGGCTCTTGATGCTCTACTCGGCTTCAATCCGCAAGGTTTGTTTGCAGTCCCCTGCCTGTTAGGTCTAGGCTAACACGATTCCAGATCCCCAGGCTATGTCTGATGCTGAGAGAGTCATTGGCATGAACAATGACTTCTCGCTCCCTATCTGTCAGTTGAAGCTCCAGCTCTTATTTAATGTAGAGGCTGGGAATGGAGTCGACAATGGTATTGTGGATGTGATGTTCAAAGCAGCGATGGCTGATGCTCGCTCAAAGCGTTCCCACTGGTACGGTTTGGTGAGTCTGATGAACCAGGATGCGGTGCGACAGGTATGAGAATAGCCAACCCTTTGCTCTTGTTTCATCTTCGCTGACTGTTTCAGATCCGCGAGCGAGCTGAAAAGGGCTTCTTCTCTGTTCCTATTCTGGAAGAGTTTGTCGGCGATCCTACGGTGGCGGACAAGTCAAACTCCATTGAGACCGCTCGGCTTTATCTGGCAATCATTGAAAAGCTAGCATATAGTATTCCTGAAACGGGTGTACCATCTGTTGCGCCAATGTTGGTGGAAAAAATGGAGTTGCTTCTCCAGAAATTCATCACCATGCAGCCAAATCCGTCTACTCCCGCAGAGTCGTGTCAGATAGCTCAGGCGCGCTCGAATTTCGAACGAAGCCTTGCATTTTGGTTCTCAGCTCTGCTCAGACTCGTTGTCATCCACAGATCAGCATTCAATACGGCGGCACTAACATCTAAACCAATCGGTCTCCAAGAACAAGCTCGCATGCTGGTCTCTATCTTCTGCATCACTCTCGCACGTCTCCCGGACCGAGTTATTCGCCTCTACCCGTCAGCGAATTATTTCCCTCATCCTGTGCAGTCGGAAAGCTACCGCCCATGTCCCGGGATTCTACTACAGACCCACGCTTTGGACGTTGCAGCAGCCCTGATTGATACGTTCCCGGACGAAGCACGACAGCAATGTGCCCGTTTCCTCAAGGAGAAATGCCCTCCTTTTCTTCAGTTCCAAAACGATTCCCGGTTCCTCTATCTTCTTGGGCCCGTGATGGATGCGCCAACGCTTAATTCATCCCAGCCCGCGTCTCTA